GAGATGGGGAAGTGAAGATGTAAGAACATGGCAATTGTCACAATGTTCCTCTGTAGAGATGTGAAATCGAGTTCTGTCAGATAGAGCAGAGAATAGAAAACTTCTTGGGTGAACCCTCAGCTGTTAAGTCTCTGGGTATCCAGGGCAAGTGCGTGATACTTCCTCCTCCAGTTAAGTGTGGAAAGAAAGGACTGAAGTGTGCTGAGCTCTTAGAAAAAAAGATCCTTCAAGCCAGCATTTCAGGAGCACATTTCAGGCTTCTTTCTTACAGGAAGGGGGATAAAAGTTGGTTTTGTCTTTGGGTACTTGTTAGGTGTAAGATGCTCCTCAGCTGCTGCCTGCTTTGGATACAACCATCTGAATTTTCCTTCTGTTCTGTGCATGGGTTCAAATCCAGGTTCCCACTCTTAAGCTGTTACTGTACTTCTCACTAGGTCATTAGTGAAGTATTTTACTTGATTAAGAACTATGTGCTTTATGATGCTGCATAAGTCATCATAAAGAAAAAAATCCTTAGGATTCTTACCTGTTTCCCCAAGTTCCCCTTTTATCAATGGCCAGGTGAAACAGTTTGTGACTCTTTGGGAGGTAAAAATAGAACCTAGCTGGAAATGTGTAAAGTTTTGTATTGTTTGTTAAGTTGAATGTCATCCTTTCTTCAAAGAAGGCTAAGAAGGCAAGAAAGAAAAGTACAATTTATCCCCTGTATTGACATTTGGGTTTGGAAACTACAAAATTACGTGAGCTGCCCGTACTATTAATATTAATAAAGTTTAAAAAAATCCTCTCACAAGGGCTTTGTGTTAATCTTACATGATTCAGCTCCTGGCTGCATAATGAAGATCTTACATATTTAATAAGCAAATTGAAGCAGTCCCAAATGAGTGAACAACATAGCTCTGTAAGAAGAAATGGGGCAGAGGAGAGGGGGAATTCTTGTCGGATGAGCTGGCTGAAAAAACACCAATCTACTGGCATTTTTATGTCTCCTATCAAATGTCATTGTAAATTGAAAATGGAATGTCTGAAAAAAATAAGAAGCAGCAAGTTTCTATATAACCTGATGAATGTAACTCCATTGTTTCCATGAAATCATATTAAAAAGGTCATCACTCTACGTATGAAAATACCAAGGCAGTTATTCTATTCCTCTTTCAATTTGGAATAGGCACTTGAATATCATCAAAGCAAAATAGCTGATATTCTATAATTAAAAGTAGATTTTGATTCACAGTGGGGAAGATGATAAGAATGGATCCTTCCATGCCACTGATGTAGACATGCATCTTACTCAGGAATAAAAGAAACTGTCTGGAGGATGAAAGGAAAATATGATTAAATTAAAATGTCTGGAGTATAAAAATGTGCATGTGAAAAGAACTGAAAAATTCCCCCTTCTTGTGGTGTTCTACAAGTAACTCCTTTGGGTAAAGCCTTTGCCATAGCAACAGATAAAACCTTTATGAGGTGCAAAGTTTTGCTAAGAAAATGAAGGTTTTCCATTCCAGTTCAGTTGATGTCTTGAAATGATAATAAGTCTGGCATAAGATTATAATCAGTTTAAAGATGCATTTTTAAAGACTATAACAACAAAGAGTCTGTGGTGCTTTTTCAAAGTAAGATACACATGTGTTCTTCTGGAGATGGAGAGAAGAAATCAGAACTCAAATGAACTGTGGCTGTGCCCCCTGTCCTGTTACCTGTTCTTTCTCTTTCATGTTTCATCATTTTTGATATCTTCATTGCTATCTTTGCTTTTACTTAGCCTATGTATGTCTTGTACATACTTAGCCTATGTATGTCTTGTACATTCTATATTTTAAACTTTTTGTTTTACAAATAGTTACAAATACAAGGAAACATTGGGAAAGATCTTAGCATTAGTGTGTAACTTTTCCTTGTACTTCTGCTGGCTCAGTTTTTTGCATTACACCCCTTGCTACCTCTCGCTGTATTGTCTATTTCTTCTATGGAAAATCAGAGATCCAGGCCTTCCCTCATGCCTTGTTCTTGATTTTGTTTTTCAGTCAGCAGCAGCTCTCCATGACACCTGGTCCTTCAATAGGCTATTGCGTCTGTTCATGGTGAGGTTCTCAATGCCTTTTTTTCAGGATTTCAGCTCTTGTGCATTCTCAATATTGCCTCTCTGGATAGTCTAAAATTTAAATTGTCTCATTATGTGCATTCTTATGAAGGATCCTAAAAGCAGAGCTACCAAGGTTTCCATTATATCATCATTCTCTTCACTGAAGGACCCCTGGCTCTTCACAAGATAGAGGCAGCTATCTCAGAGGATTAGGGTGACTCATAAGAGGATCGTCTGATTGTCTGACAGAGCTGTGAGTTTCTTGGCATTTGTGCTTTTGGAATTTAAATGGTGTCAATTATACCTTCACAGGGAACTTTTCCTCAAACTATGCCAAAAAACACATCTTGCCTTTTTGCCTCTACAGCAGTTTGCAGAGTGGAAATTCTCTGAACACTTCAACACCCCTTCCCCTTTTCTATTTTTTGTGCCCTGGGCTTTGTAGTTATTTCCCCTCTTTTGTCCCCTTTTCATTCCTCCTTGCATGAGGGATCTGTCCTGACATTGTGGGAGTGGGATTGCAAGATTAGAATGGAAATGTGTGAAATGGAAACCTCTGTCTATCACTTTGCAATCAGCACTTGCACTGCTCTTTCCTGGCTGCTATCAAAACTCCGAGTTACACTTTTATCTGCTGGTTTGCTTTTATTTTTATCATCAGCTGGGTCTTCAAGTGCTTTTTGAAAGCTTGAAGGGCATCTGAGGTTCCTCATCCTTATCTTTGTCTTGAACACAGCTGCTCAAGGTGTCAGAAGTGTGGAACTAGAGGAGGACTGAGCTGGGCACCAGAAGCCAGGGCTGTGCTTTGGCACTGTGGGTTGGGATCTGTGCTGAGGAGGATTCCCACTCACTGTCTGTGGGAACAAATGAACTCTGGGGAGAGCAAGGGAAAATGGGGCACCACCTGTGGGGGTCATCTCATCACCCCCCTCCTTGCATCACATTGTCACAAAAAATTGTCACAAAAAAAAAAAAAAAGGCCTCAGTCACAATGTGATGCAAGGAGGGGGGTGATGAGATGGCCCCCACAGGTGGTGCCCCAATGTGCTACCCTAGCCTTAAACTGTTCTGCAGAAAGTCATACCACAGGAAGGAGAGCCTACCTCAAAAGTAAAATAAAATTGTTGAAATGAAAAAGAATGTTTTTAACAAAAAAATTTCAGCCATTCCAAGTCAAGACTTTTCTTCCTTGCAAGTGACAAAATACTCTATATACTCTTTTTTTTTTTTTCATAAAAACCTTGAGGTATGTGATTAAACTTACTTCTCAGAGTAATTTTGGTATTAAAGCACCTCGTTTACTGCCTCTGGCACTTCATTCAAAGAGAAGAAGTAGAAAGAAAAGTGAAAGCCAAATCAATTATATGGGGGGAAATCAGTCTTTTCTTTAGAAAGCCAATTTTTTTTTTATTAATTGCCATTTGATTTATTTTCTTCTACCTGGTGTGTAACAGTGGGGAGAGTAAAGATGTTGATTCCTGGATCTTTTTGTCCTTCTGGTTCAGTGCAGACAAATGCAGTTTGTTACCCACCTGCTACCACATGTGATGCCTCTTTATTTCAGTGTGTACATTGTTTTTGTTGGATGATTTGGACTGTGTTTGGATTTGTATTCTTATATATATTAATAATTTGACTTTGAATTGATAATTAATTATTTTTTCAAGCAATTACTTTACTTCCCAAGCATTTTGTATGCATTACAACCTCCCTGAATTATGAAGACCACAAAACTGCCTTTTGAAATCAGCACAGTTTTGAATGGACTGGAATCTGCTGATGTCCCAGTGCAGGAAATCTTCCCATCTTCCCCTTTTCTACTTCTCACTAAAGTTCAGAGCTCTGAAAAAGGGCCTTGTCTTCCCCCTTCCTGAAGTCAATTTCCAGAAACAAAATGAGATAGACAAAATACACATCTGCAGTTGCTCATTCAGTGAAAATGTCAAGGCTCTTCAGAATCTTGTTTTCTATAGCAATTAGAGGCCCTGTGCATGTTAAACAAAGGCTTCACCACTCAATGTGCTTTCTCAGCATCACATTGTATATGGATTCCAAAACCCAGTGTCTTCCAGGAAATCCAGGTCAACAGTGAAGAGCAAGGATGAACTGTGAAAGTTCAGGATCCAGACTGATGCTGTTGCTATTTTCAAAGTCCTCAAGGTGATTTACTTAGGCATTTAGGCAAGTAGAAACATCTCTCAGTCCTTTTTTTAAAATGAGTCACAGAGAGGTGCAATGAATATTAGCACAGACTGGCCATGCCTGGCTCCCAAAATTGACCTGGGTCACCCTGGGATCCTCCAGCCCTAAGGAAAGATAAATGGTGACATGGCCTCCTGTCCATGGCTGGGCAGAATTCTTTGGAAGCACTAGGAGCTGAAGCTCAATTCTTCAGACTCAGGATGCTACTTTTATTTCCATTTATCCTTCTGCATTCATCCTCCAGGCTTATCAAACTACTCATTATCTGCTGTAACTTTCAGCTAATGGCTGAAATGCTTTCATTGCAGTTTGTCTTTGTCCACACCACTTTGGCAGTGTTTGTGCAGTGCTCACTGCAGCAATTTCCTAGCAGTGTTTGGTGTTTAGCAAGCTCTGAGCAGAGCTCAGCCCTGACCAAGATGTTCAGCAAAAATCAGGAATTCCCACAGCACTTGCCCTCCTGTGCAGCGTGTCTGACATCATTAATGTCTCAGTTTACTCAGTTACCCAAAGGTACAGTATATCTCTTTGAGTAATGCTTGTGAGTTCATCACTTCTTCTGTGGTACTGAAGTATAGCTACAAGGCTTGGAGTTTCGGTATCTGAGTATTATAAGTAGCAGAACTCAAAATGCAAATGAGTTTGTGGATTTATTTAATTTTCATTAAGAGATGGTTTATTATGAATGATGACCTTTTGTTTTCTGTTCCAGATGAGCATCAAATTATGAAGAGTTCATCATCTTTGTGAGCATCAGATAATGAAGAGTTCATAAAAAACAACCCCAAGTAAACCCCTTTTATTCAGGTACCTCAGTTTGTGTCTCACCTAAAGAATTGCTAACCCCAGTGGTCAGGTTAAACTGAAAATCTAAGTGGCCTCTACATCTTCAGGCCTTTGAGATTTTTTGGCTTTCTTTGCTTTTGCTCCACATTTTCCAATATCGTTCAGGAAAGTGAAGAAGAAAAGACAGAGTTAACTTTGTCTCTCACATGAAAATCCCTCAGCACTGACAAAATCTGCTCTGCTTGTGCCAGGTCTCTAAGAGCTTGAAAATCAAATTAGGCCCAGAATTATTGCAGACACTGTTTTCTGTCAACAACCTGGGGAAAAAAAGCAACCAACCAAACAAAACCCTAAACAAAGAGAAAAAGCTTTCTCCTGTAATCTCAGTAAGAACCATGCTTCCCAATCCATTAAAAGTGTCTCACTCCAGCTCTGATGTTCCCTGTTGCCAAGTAGCTGGAAACAGGGGCTGCAAAAAAAAAATGTTTTAAAAAGTCGTTTGAAAGGGAGCAGAGAGATTGCATGCCAACTTGAAAGCATGACAGCAAGAAATCTCTGAACTTGCTTTGCCAGTGATGAGAAAAACCTCACCAGATTCACTCTTGGTTGAGCTCACTGGGGCGGAGGAGGGGGGTTTAATCTCAGTATTTGTTAGTTTCTCAGTGTAGTGGTTTATGCCACTGATGGCATTTTTTTCACAGGCAAGATGAATGCCAGTGCTAACTTACCTATGACCACCCTCCTTTAATGCAAGAGTAGATACAGTGGGTCACATTCAAAAAAATTCCCTCTAGCCAGGTCTCTGGCTTTGGTCACAAGCAAATGCCTAGAGTAGACTGGGAACAGCACAAGCATGTATAACAGTTCCCCAGTGCACTCTGGAATGCCATGCCAATTATAATAGTTGATGGGTTCTCTGTTGTAAATTACTTTATTGTTCAATGTATATCACCTGTTAGCATCTACAACATCCTCCAGCTTCATGTTCTATAAGCCTCCTACACCCTAAGGGGCAGAAAATTCCTGTCTTTCCCGTTTGTTTTGTTTTCCTGTTTGTTTTGGACTTGCCAATGAGAAACTTCGCATAGGATACCCTATATCTTGTACTCATGAAGAGATGAAGAGATGAACAATGAGTTCCCATCCTAACTCCACACTCCTGATGTTTTCAATGTCTTTCCTCAATCACAGGCATTTCTGTATATTTGCTAAGCATTGCTGCTCCTCTCTGAACTTTTTGCAGTTCCAATATGTGCTTGGAAATAAATGGCAGCATGGGAAGTCTTGCTGCTGTTTTTAGCAGAGGCTTTTGCAGCACATTGCTGCTGATGGATTTGTGCAGTCATCACCGTTAAAGCTTGAGGCTGTCAGCAGCAGCAGGTGAGCAATTTCAATTTTTAAAAGTTTGTCTTTTCTCTCCTCCCCATTATTGGTAAGCCAACTCATCATATCAAGCTGCTTTTTTTTTTCTTTTTTTGCTTCCAAGTTGAAAAGTTGTAAATGTAGTCTTGCCAATGTGGGGTTACTACTTCCCAGCAGGCAGGTAATGCAGGCATTGTGAATCAATTCAGACCTTAGGTTTCCATTTTGTTGTAAGAAAAAGGGAAAGAAAATACACCCCAAAAAACCCCCAAAAAACAAAAAAACAAATCTGGAAACAATGATTTAAAATCAAGCAAGAACCTAAGAGAAACATTTGTCAAAGCTCACCTTGCCTTCTTAAGTTACTAGCCAAGTTTTCTATAAGCTACTTCTAACTAATCAGAGAGGATATAAAGAAATGGAACTTCTAAGTATGGATAAATTTTGTAATTTTATGTTGTCACTCCCTCTAGACATATTACCTGTTTTCATTGTATCATGTTGAAAGGAAAGTGTTTGTTTTGATCTCAGCTTTTCTCAGCACAGTGTGCACCTTGTTTTTGTGATAGTGCTTAATGTCTTCCAAGAAATCCTGTTGAGGGTTTTTAAATGCCTCTTGTTTGCAGACAATAAAAAATAGAAGTGGGTGGAGAAAAGATAGAAATGATCTGAAGCTGATGAAAATATTTCTAAGAAGAAAGTTGCTAAAGCTACAGAGGAATATGAAATTTTACACTCTGGGTCAATTAAAATTGGACAGTATTATATATCCATCAGAATGTGAACTTGTGTTGGACTTGAGGGGTCGATTAAACACTCTGGTTGGATTTGGGGATGGGATTTTCAGAAGCAGTCAATCTGCTCTTTCTATTTAAGTGGTAATAGTGTTCAGTCAGCATTCAGCACTTTTTGAATATCCTAGGATTCGGCTCTCCGGTTTTATAAGCTGAATTTTCAGTTCTTTATCAAAAGAAAATACCCTGCAACTCAAAGACACATTTTCCTGAAATTAGATGATTTTCAGGCTCCAGGCTGCTAAAATGCAGTCTTATTTTGAAATCCTATCAAGGAATCTCTTGGTTTTGCAGCATCTTGGATCACTGTTGAACCTTTTTTACAGTCAGCTGTCTCATTCCCTCAAGTGTCCTTTTGTATTTTCAGCTTTTGGGGTAATATTATTCTAATACATCCATCACTACTACAGTTGTGTATCCCTACCTTTGTTATGTTTAACTCCGATAGTGGAAGAAAACCTACATTTAAAGCACCCCATTTGATCAGCCTTCGGAAGAGGAAACTAAAAAATCTTACAAAGACTCACCTGATTTTCTTTGAGGAACATTTGGGAGCCATCAGGATGGGCTGTATCCACGCATTGTCCTGTGCAAAGCAGGTCTGAGTTGAGCACATATCCCAGTGTCTCCTGACCCTGCCAAACTGCAGCTGCAATTGCTCTTCTTGAGCTAAACCTGCACCCTGAGCCAGTTGTAGCACCCACAATTTTAGAGACAACTTTTCTGGAGTTGTAGGCTGAGCTAGATATCTCCAGAGATCCCTTTCAGCCCAAGTTTCCCCGTGACTGTGATCCTGGAAGTGGCAGCACCTTCTCAGCTCCTGTGGGGATTCACTGAAATTATTGTACATCTGTAGCTCTAAAACCACCAAAGGACAGCTCTGGGTACTGACTTGTGAAACTGCTGAGGACAGGGCACTGGCAGGACACATGAATGTTTGAGCACACCTTCACTTTCCCAGCATGTGTTCTAGGCTCCTTCCAGTCCAGGAGGATCCTGCTGTTTCCATATTTCTGCACACTTTTCTCTTGAGTAGAACCACCAATAGATTTCCTGCATATTCCTCGCAGATTTATGTCCTTTTGTCACAGCTCTGTCTAAAAAAAGCATCACAGTAAAGTCTGATGGAGCTAAAATAAGATATACATGATTCCTTTGACAGGTTTGAGGTCACTTAAAATTAGCAAAAAACTGTAATCAAGTGGGAATGGCTGGAGTTCACCTACAGCCCAATAGATAACATATTTCAACTTGTAAACAATCTTATAACAAGGCTTAAATTAAAACCACATTCATCCCTGTACTCCCTTTTTTTCCTTTCTCTTTATCATGCTTCCACATTCCCTAAACTGATAATTTATTTCTTTCTAGGTTGCCTCTGGAAAGGGGACAAGCCTAAAGACTTAAGACTAGTGAGATAGTAATCATTGCTTCACACTGTTTCCCTTCTAGCTATTTGCTGTAAGCAAGAACAAGAACAACAACAACAACAAAAAAAAAATACAAGACAGAAAGAAACAGAGCCTGAGGAGAGAACATTCATATTGTCATTTAGATGAACTATGCAGCTATCTCTCTTGACACACCTATTCCACCAACATGCTTCTTCTCAACCTGGTATTCATTTTCTGTCCTTCTTCATTAGATTAGTGATCCTTTTCTCCTCTCCTGCTCTGACTACAGCCTGAACCACTCACTTATTTTTTGGCTATATTAGCCAGGTTGTTTGTATTGCTGTCCCGTGGGTGACCTAGCGGCTCAAACTAATAACACATATTTCTTTGTCAACATTTTATTCTCCAAGCTTGTTGAAGACATTTTATATGTCCAAATTGCAGTGATGCATTTTGGGGATAATAACACAGAAATGGAATTAATGCCTTTTGGATCTTTCCTTTCTAGCAAGATTGGACTGGCCTGGATAAATGGTTTTCTCTTGTAGCCTATTTTGGTTTTCTTTTGTTTCAAACCCCCTGAATTTCATAATGTTGGTTGTTTTCCTCTAGACCTCTTTATAGAATTTTTTATGTTTGTTTCACTTTGTTTGTTCTTGAAGATCTGCAGGATCTGCAAGTTCTGGCTCCAACTAAAAATAGAATAGATTGAGACATTCCGCTATCGTGAAGGTGAGATTGTTTTCATTTACATTGCAGAATGCCTGGGGCATTTATGTATCTGTGGAGGATCTATCATAATGAGGTTTCCTGACTAGAAATCTGGTTTGTGTCTAAGATCCCTGACACATGATTGAGACAATGTTAATGATAAAGATAAATTAATTTCACAAAGAAGGTAGAATTATTTTTAGTCTCTCTCATTTATATTTTGATTAAAATTGTAGGAACATCATACCTTCAAAACTGTGACCAATTTTGTTTAAAAAGGCCAGTCAAGGAAGATGAGCACATAAATGTCAGAAGATCACAGGAACTTCCTGTGCCTTGAGAAACAAGGCTAGAGAATAACTGGCAAAGAATAGTTATTTCTTAACTATGCAATAATGCAGAGAAAGATGTGCTGTCAGAGCACATTGAAGGTAAGGCACAGCAACCCACATTCCTCAATAAAAGACTAAAAATAATAATTTTTTTGCAAGCAATATCCACAGGCCTTATGAAGTAGAGATAAGGCCTTAGGAAACAGAGATAAAGTTTGATTCTCCTGTAAGACTCCATCCACATGCAGGAGCAAAACTTCCTCGTCCTACAAATATAAGGATATGAGAGGATAAAAAAGCAATGAAAACAGTAGAAGAAAATAAATTTACCTTATTTTTAACCCCTGGAGGATTTACACATGTTTTAATTTAATTCCAGATCCTCACAGGAAGTTAGGTACCCTAGGGATTTCTTGGGAATTGGGTATTTAAATCCTTGCAAAGTTTTGTGTGGGTGACTTACCCAAGGAGATGCACATAATCTTTGCAAGGTTGAATGAGACTGCATAAATGTCACTCCATTGCCTTAACCAGCTTAATTGTGTAAGGTAGGGTTGTTTTGATTGTGTAGTATCACACGTGGCTGTGGTTTCTGTGCTTTTGAAATGCTACTGCTGGACACGAGTACAGGTTTGATTTGGTCTTAACATAGAGAAACAAGTTCTAGTCATATGTTCATGCAAAAAAACCCAGAACAAAACAAAACAAAACAAAAAGTTAGAAGTTCAATTATAAACCGTTAACATATCTAGTCTAACTTTAGGGTTATAAACCACAGAAATTAGCCAGTGAAGGCAGGACCTAGTGCTGTGGAAGGGATGCTGGTTTGTTTTGCAGCAGATCACCACCAGTAGATCAGGCAGCTTATTCAGTTCCTCCTCCAGGAAAGGTGTGTGTGACCGTGTTAGCTCAGCTGCTGTGCCTCACTGGTCATGCCAGACCACTGCAGTGTGGCTCCCATCTGGAGCATCCCAAAAGTGGGATGAGCAGTCTGCTGGTTGGCTCCAGCCTGCCCGCAGTGTGGGTTCAGCTGGCTCCATGCATTGTCTCTGCACACTCAAACAAGCTACCAAAGACAGGGCAGCTCCCTGAGGTTAGGGATATCATGAAGAAGAAATGGTTATTTCATCACAGAGACCAATCTGGCTTAATTTATTGAAAAAATAGGGTGAAGACTCAGAAGGCAAAGGCAGTGGAAAACCAGGCATGTTAATATCATTAAAAACGGGCATAAACTGACTAGAATAGAAATTGGATGATAGTTTCTGACCTCTAGAAGTCCCTTTAAATAGCTGAACAATTTTTAAAAGACCTAACTTGTTTTAAGACAATATGGATCCCTTTTCAAAAGTACTGTGTCCAAACAGCATAGTAATTTCCTTTTCCTATCTGAGGAACATGACTTACCTCCCAGGGAACATTGTGGGGAAAAATGAATGGATAACTGTAGGATGCTAAAAGGGCTAATAAATACTAGGTAGCTGGAGAGATTCGGCTGTGAATATTGACAACATGTAGGATGTCTTGTCTTCAGGCCATCCTGAAATTTATCCTACTGTATCCTTTTAAATTAGGCAGGTTCCAGCAATATGTTATGTAATGTACATGAGCCAGTGTGTCATGAAGGGAAAAAGAAATAATAGTTACCATACTCAAACAGCAGATTCATGTAGGTAAAACAAGCCACAGTATTTGAAATGTCAAAATTGTTAATAGCTTTGCATTTGTCTGGGTGTTAATTTGTATTTGTAATTGAAGCAACAAAGTGTGGAAGGAGCAGGTGACATGCTTTCACCAAAGTATCTGCTGCAATCATTTCTTGATGATAAAAGCATTTAGAATATGTCAAAGAGATAAAAGAGCCTTTCTGATCAACTGAACCAAGTGTGAGGGTTGTCTCCCCATGTTCATGAGATATATATTTATACACAAAACCCAAAGAAGATAGCTTTGATATACTCTAAGCCTTTTCAGGAGGTAGATTTTAACAGCCTTTGTGTATTCTGTCAGTCAAAACTCTTTTGAAATGTGTAAGGCAAACTCAAAGCATTGGCACTGGTTTCAGGGATTTCTGCTGGAAGTTGGGGACCTTCCCTTCTCAGTCAGTAAAGCTCTTTCTTCGGGTGTGTGTCAGCCAGAAGGGGAAAAGGGAAAAAAAAAAAAAACAAAAAGGAAGCGATTCTACAGTAAGGAAACAAGTATTCTTAACACGTGCAAAATGAGAGAGTTTCAACACGCACTGTGATCACAACCCAACCTGCTCATCTACTCCACAGTGGTTACCATTCCTACAGGTCCAACAGATTTCCTATTCTAATCTGAGGAAATAGCTCAATGCCAGGGTAAATTTTCCTAATGTGCTGATTTTTGGTGACAGCTTGCACTGAGGGCACCAGCCATCTCTGACTGCATGCTCTAGAAAGTGGAAATAAAACCAAGTTATCTCACTTGAGCACTTATCCAACATGAAATTTTCATTTCATCAGGCACAGTGTTGGTGCCTTGAATTCTAATCATTTGGCCTTCTGCTGCTGTAAACTGCTATGTGAGCTCTAAAGCAAACCCAGTGCACATTTTTTGTGTGTCAATGTTCCTTTTTATTCCCATACCAAGATGATTCTTGGCGAGGTTGCACAATGGGCTTTTTCGCCTGCAAGCTGCTGCTTCAGAGCTCACTGCAGAGAGCTCCAAAATCTGAACTTCAGCACTGGTTCTTGTTTATCTCAACAACAGGGAAGGGGGAGCTAAGTGAAATGAAACTATATATTTTACTTTTATTTATTTTTTTTTAAACTTCCTCATATCTTGAGCAGTACTCAGTATATGTGTGTGCTTATGTACAAGTATGCAAGGGTGAACACCTATTGACTTGTGACTTGTATAAATCAGGCACATATTTAGTTATCATCCTTGTCATAAAATTCCTTTTATAAGAGTAAATTGCTGTTTACTGCCCAACACTTCTGGCCTCGCAAGAGAGAATCAGAATTTTTTTTTGTTTCTTTATTATTGCTGTTGTAACTGCAGGTTTGCTCATCTCTGAGGTATTGGGAGTACATTATAGACATCATTAAATTTATAGCTCTTGTGGTTAGGATAAAGAAAAAAGTGGTCATACTGCTGGCAAGTTTATATCAACACCTGAGCATATAAAAGATTAAAAGGTAAGCTTAAGAAATTTTGCAGTTCCCTCCTAAGTATACTTCCTATTACTGGCATTTGATGTTTGTCTCAGTTACTCATCAATCATCAAACTTTAGATATTTTGCCAGTAATAATATCAGAATGTTAGTATGGATGGAACTGCTTCAAATTTAGACAAATTGCCTCTTTCTCTCTTTCACTTTGTTTTATACATTTGAAAAGAGCTGGTAACTGTGAGACACCCAAATGCTTTTGAAATACAATGAAATTTGAGGCTGCTTCTCTGAATAAATACTCAGAAACTCTGACAATAATGGAAAAAGAGGAACCGAAAAGGGTCCCTGAACTCTTAAATTTAGCCTTTAGATTCTCCTAAAGAACTTTCAACTGTGCAGTTCCAAATAATATTGGGTAACGTAATGTTTTTCTCTTAATCAGAAAGTGCATTGAAATATCTTAGTTGTACTCCATGTTCATAGCATGATGACTGCCTTTCCACTTAGTCATTTCATGCATCCATATCAGGAAAATATTAAAGAAGCCAAAGAAATATGTAATTTTTCTTCTCTCTCTAGCTTTGGAGGCAAGTCTGCCAAGAGCCTGAGTTCCACTGCCTTCCTTGTGGCTGAGGGTAGTTATGCAGCAAAATTTATTCGCATCTGTAAATTTGATTTTTCTTGCTCTTCTAAGGCATGAGAAGGAGGATTGCCACCTCTGCTTCATGTGCACAGGCTGGGATCTGTGGAAAAGCCTGGAAAACTCTTTTGCCTTTGGACAGAGGACCAAAAGGTGATTTTACCTGCAGACGTGATGGTGGTTCTAGAATGAGTTTATGCAGAAAGGTGTCCTGTCCCCATTAGATCTGCACTGAACAGCTCCCTGTGGACAGCAAGGGACTCACTGGCTGTGACCTTCCTTGCAAACATGCTCACAGGCAATATTGAGGGGCCAACACCTGAACTGTGAATATTTTTCAGCTTTTCTTCACAGCTCAGCTCTCCTCCTATGTTGTCAGAGTCTCCAAAGCAATTTTTCATGCTGATCCTTTTGAAAAATGTCTGTGTGCTGGGGATAACCTGTGATTAGCTGCCCAGTGCTTCCTTCTTCAGAGCTGCTGGGAATTCCTTTCTATTGCATTGGCAACCAGAAAATTGCGGAGTTTTCTGGTTTTTTGTTGTTTTAGTGGGGTTTTTTGGTTTATGTTTTAGTTTTTTTTTTTTAATTAAATGTTGTGCTGTGGCATTTCATGTCATCCTTCAAAGTTTACTGTAGGTGGTGGAATGGCTAAATGATAAGCCAGCTTCCCTGTTGTCAAACCAGAGCACAGCCTTACAAAGTGGGCCTGGTGTTGTTTCCTTCCCTGTCTCCATTGATTTGTGAATCCATACTCATCAGAGAGTGTGATTTTGTTCTTGTTTCTCACACTTCCCCTGAGCTAACTGTGACTGTTATTGTGTTTTGGATTTGGCTTCGGGTTCCAACTGAGGTTTTATATCTTGGATGCAGAGTGTGAATTTAAAAAAAAAAAAAAAAAAGAGAAAAACCTGTTTTATGTTATCTGTGAGTCTTCTTGTACTTTGAGGTGACTTTCTAGCATGGCTTTCCTTCCTGATTTATGTCCTTTAACCCCACAGTAACCATTGCAATTGTGCACTTCATCTCTTGAGCATGGGTTGGTAGGTGAGTGGATGGGAGAGTTCATCTGCTCTGTAGCCAAGCCCATGGAACAGCTCTTCTCTCACTGAGCTGCATGCTGGGGTGTACTTGTGGCTCACCACACCATAATGGATCTTTTTGCTTACAGAAAATAAAGAGGAGTGAGGGAGAAATGGAGAAATGAGAAATTTAGGAGCAGGAATTCTGGGATTGTTTCCCACAGGTTTGATGCCTCTATTTCTCTAAAAATATGGAAAATATCATGGAAAAGTGAAACCCAGGTAAGCACCAGTCTTAAATCTCCCTCAGATGCGGAACTTAAAGAAGTCTCTACATTTGGGGTGGTGAGCTGTTATGGGGGAAAATAAGGATTGTACAGAATGGAGAATTATCAGATATGGAACCTTAGGATAAACTTAAGGTTTATCTTTATCATTAAAAAAATTATATTTATACTCTGTATTCAATCTGGAAACTCTAGGTTCAATTCAGATCTCTAAGTATGGGACATAAAGAAGCCAGAATTTCTTGTCTAGTTTCTTGAGCTGACACAGGATCTTCACTATTCCAGTTTCCTTTAGTCTAAAATTGAAATAATCTATCTTCTAAGAGACAGCATGCTGATGATTTGTTTCATATCTCACTCTAAAAATGACACATTATTATGAATCCATCCCTTCTTGCAGTGAGTGTGTGACGATAAGGAATCACTGCACCTTTAAAGCAAAGGCAAAACGTGAAATAACAGTTGCTCCTCTGGAATTGATGAGTTAACCTGGATTTTTTTTTTTTTGTATCCCAGGCTATCCAGACTGCAGAACAAAAATTGCTGCCATTACATTTTTCTGAGGCTTCTTGTTACAGAATTCCTTTGAAAGGTTAATTGTCAAACTTTAGTTTGGGACTGTATGATGTGCTTCAAAACTCCATAACTTTACTGAAGTATTAGCATAAATATGGTGGGTGATAAAAGGAGTTGTTTTTCATATTTTTTTAAAGGTTGAGCTCATATCATTATTCATGATTGAGTAAATAGGTTTTTATTCCAGGATACTAACAGCACTATAAATACTCATTTTAAGGCTTATGAATCTCACCTGAGTCCCACTAAAGTAGATGGAAAGGCATATCTTGATATGCATGTTCTTTGGATAATATTCTTTACCTGGAATGGCCATAATTCACCTTTCCTTGGTAGTTTAGGGCAGTATTTTCAAAACTCTCACAAAAGAATTAAGTATGAAAGCAGATGGTGTTTAAGCAAATGCTTGTGCTCTCTTCTTCTTTCTTCTGCTGAAGTAATGGAGGAATTGTACAAATTGTATTGATTGTTGCCTGCCCTGCCCCACCCCATCTATCAGAAAGGTGTTATAAGACAGGTTTTTTTTTATAAAGTCCTTGGAAATTTATCAAGGGAAAAGTGCTATGCAACAGTTAGATGGAAAAAGTATTGCTGTTCCTATTTGTTTTCTTTTTCTTTAACATTGTATACAGGCTTGTGTCTTCTGAGCACAAGAACTCAGCTGGACAAAGCCATCTTCCAAGTTTAATCTTGTACTGACTGCAACACAAATGCTTTAAAAAGTAAGGATAATAAGGAGCACTGACTCTGAAAATGCCTTGGAACAGATTGCTTAGAAAGGCTGTGAATGTTCCATCACTGAGCATTTTGGAGACAAGGGCAGGGAAACATCCATCACAAAGGAAGACACTTTATTGGGAAGGGGCAGCAGAGTACAGAGAAAGTTGAGCTCCTTCCTAAAGGGGGATAATTTTTATTTAATTGATTCCAAACCTAGCTTGAGGCAAAATAACAGCAGGTCAGTAACCAGGGCCATTCTTTTCTTCAAATTTATGTTATTTTTGATGGAACCAATTCCAAAAATTAGGAAATATTTGATGGCAGCTGTTCCTGCGGAATAACATAGCATTGCAAAGGGTGAGCCCACAGTCTTCTCCTAATAGCACTGAACAGGATCATCAGTCACTGTCCTGGGTGTCAGCAGCTCTACTGCTGCTCACCAGGTAGGAGGCAATTACAAAGGATACAGAGGAGAACCCACCAGGGAAGGTCACTCCTCTCAGTTGCCAGGTTCTTTTATTAGGCTTTGCAGAAGCCAGGTCGTGTGTCTCTGAATCACAGTGATGCACAGCACTGAATGTCCAGCAAGCAGGAGTATCTGGCACCTACAGCACTGCCTTTCCTCCAGCCATGCAGCTGGGGCTGGATGGAGCCCCAGTTCCTCCTTTGCCTCCTGTTGAGAGCAGCACAGCCAAGGTACCACTGTCACAGGATGAGCTGTGCAGAGGAAGACCAGGTGCTGCTGGGTTCCCTGAGAGAGAAGTTATCTTCAACTTGGTCATTCCTTTTGCTGGGAGTTGCAAAAATTTTTCTGCTCCTTTGCCTTGGACAAGACTGTAGGGTGCCCTAGATAATATTTTAAATCAATTAAGAATGTAATGTATATATATACACATACATGTGCATATCTATATATGTGTGTATGCATGTACATATGTGTATATATATTATATACACATCTACATATCAAATACAGAAATATATTAGTGTGTGTATCTGTGTATATCTAGTGAAGACACAGTAAAGAGATGTGTAAACCAAGCAGGTAATAAATTAAGTTTTTGTTAGTTTTGGACAGTGCTTTCCTGGCAGCAAAATTCCCATAGATCATTCTGTCACTGGACTGTGGTTGGGAGTTGGCTGCTTCTCTGAAAAAGTCCTCTGCAGAATATTGTCTTCTGCAGATAAAAGTTGAGTGGCTATTTCTGTAAAGGAATTTTGTCTCTCTGAGCACAGTTTCAGGACACAGCTGCATTTACGTGAACCTTGTTATAGCATTTCTTAGATCATACCAGAGAGACTTATGACCTTCATAAAGCCAAGAAGGACAAACATTGCTGCTTTAAAAGCTTTTAGGAACTGATCATTTTTCATGCCCACTTGTCTCTGGCAGTTATAGTAAATTTGCTGTTCTCTACATGGTTCCAAGATACACTTTCCCTTATTACAGAACCACAACAAAAAATGCTGTAGTAATATATGGTTCCAGCTTCAAATGCAGTCGTACTGCTTTGGTTAATTTCCATTTAACTTAGTATATTAGCTACACACCAGTGGTTCTTCTGCCTCTAAAAGGTGACATCTAGAAGTGCACAGAAGAGGGGTTGTTTTAATGTACAGCATTCTTAGATCCAGATGTCCTAGAAGAATTATTTTTGCTATAGTAGTAGGTGCTCACCATAATCCAGAATCCTCTTTTGCTCTGCTGTGTGTATTTCATAAGGAACAAGACCATTCAGTCTCAAACAGTGTATTATTTCTACTGTTTTCATAATTATAATTATTAATTAACTAAGCAGCACAGTGATTCCCAGCCTTAGGATTTATCAGGCCAGAAGTGAATTGACAAACAGAAAACATTACTGCTACAGAAAGCAGGAATCCAAAGGATTTACGTGGACCTGCTGAACTGCATGCTATACAAACAGAAACAATGATCTTCTGACACCAAATATCTTATTAATTAAATGTATGACAAGATAAAAAGTGCAGAATTTTTGGAAACAAAAGTAGTTGTGATGGACTCTCCTGAAAGTTCAACCTCAAGGAGAACTCAGTCTTGCTTGATCTTTCTTATCAGTGCTGTGATATAAATAATTGACACTTTGCTAGAAAGTGTCCTTCAGGTAGAAATGCACAGTCAATTAAGCTTTCCTCAGTGTTGTTATTCTCTTTTTTCCTAATAGTTTCCAAAAACAGTATTTGTGTTGCCTTTTTTTATTAAAGGCAAGAGAGAATTCACCAGGCAAAAAAGCACAAAGTTACCTGTGCAATAATTCCTGGATGTTTGTTTTGAGATTGTTTGCCATGTTTCAGTTTGTTCATGTAGCAGTGGAATATTTTTTTCCCAGGTGGCACTTGCAAGGGTTTCTGGCATCAAGTCTGCAAGGCAACGTGTGCCCAGGTTTCCAAAAAAAATGGCTCAATTTCTGAATAGAGCTTAATAGCTCAAAATGGAGATTGGAAACAGAATTTCCTCCTGTGGGGATTTTCACAGATCTTGGTCAAAGGCAGTAATATTTGTTTTTTATTGATATTAGCCAATTAGACAAAAAATATCCTCCCCCTGGAATAGAATTCTTTAGAACACTTAAAAATCCCAATTTCAAAAAGGAACAGAAAGCAGGTCATTTACTCTTAATTTTTATAGCAGTTATCCTTAAAGCTTTTCTAACCCAGATATATCAACATTAGAAAATAGTAAAATACACTAACAGAGAAATAGGAAAAAAATGTAAATAGCTGGATTTTTTTTTTTTTTTTTTGGTGGGGGGAAGAAAGAAACAACTCATGGGAAAAACAGTAAAACAAATTATTTAGGAGACCTGTCTTAGCAGAATAGAGGGCAGCTAAATCTCACATGAGAATACCGTCTCTGTGTTCATGGTGCTGTGCTGGTTGTGAGGGATCTGCCCATGGTGTTGGGATCCTGGCTTGATCAAAGCCCCAAAAGGCAGATGCACCCCCTGGAGAGCCATCACTGTAAGCGATTCTTGCCAGCCAAAGATGTAAAAGAACTGGCTCAGGCAGTGGCAGTCAGGATCTAGGGAATTTATAAGACTTTATGAAAGAAAAAAATAAGAACAAGATGCTAAACAAAACAGCCTCAAATGTGCAGGCACTTTTCTTTCAGAAACCAAAGCTGAGCGTTTCTATGAACTGAGATACTACAAATACTGCAAGATTCATGATGAATTATTGAGAGCTAGTAAGACTGCAAGGTTTTGGAGTTAAAGGAAGCGAGACCTATGCCGTGTGCACACTCCCTGACAGCTCATTGTCACTGACACTGTATATACTCTACTTCACCAGGGAGGAGAAAATATCTTGGTTTTTTGGTCTTTTTTTTTCTTCCACAGACATATTCTTTAGTTCACTGATGATGATTCACAATGTGGTATCAAACATTAATGTTCTTTACAACATCTGGAAAATACTGACTGGGAAATTAGGAGGAGATTAATGTTCCTTCTGATATTTTTATCCTCTTCACGCCTCATCATCATGCCCACTGTACCATGAGATCAACAAGATTAGATATCTTTGAAATATGCTCACCAGCAGAATGTGATATTCAGGCTGAGGTAAGAATATAAGAGCAGCTGACCTGCAAGATTAAGGTGACAAATTAGACATCCAACAGGACAACTTTGTTCTAAATAAGTGAGGTATGAATTCATGATGCATAGTTGTGTTGACTTCTCCTCAACTGAATTGTAATTCATAAAAAATACAGACAGTGTTTTGTTTCTGATTGTTCATGGTTCAAGTGACA